CTGTTTACTGGTTGGCTTCCTTCCTATCCCTGTTCCAATCCAAGATGATGGTTTCTGTCCTAAGCCAGCATCATGTGGGTTATGATAGGAGGAGAGAAAAGTGGGTGCTGGGAGAATCAAAATGAAATGCTCAAAAAGAAAAATTTCCTTCTAGGAATGTCATGAATATTAGTGAGAAGAGCTGCAAATGGATACATAGTTGGTACTCAAGAATGTGTAGTTTTTTCACCACCACCACCACCATCATCGTGATCATGAACATAACCACCTCTTTTACCACCATCCACCACCACCATCCTCATTACTATTTATCACCATCATCATCATCACAAACATTATCACCACTGTCATTATCATCATCACCATTATCATCATCATCACCATCATCACCATTACCACCACTTATCATCATTATCACTGCCATCATCAGTACCATCATCATCATCATCATCATCATCATCCATGGGACCTTTAGACATTAGAGTTCAAGTAATCCTGAAGTAGAGAATGTCAGTGTGAGAGGAAGGATTTGAGGAGTGATCTACCCTGGCCCTGTTGTTCATCCCTTGTAGAACTGCAAACGGAGCTGCAAACCATTTCTTTTCTTCTCCCTTCAGCGGGGTTACCGTTACATAAGTCAGGTCATAAGCACATTTCTTGTCAAGCTTGCTACCCCTTCCCTCATTTTTCTCCTACTTTCCCTCCCCCAATCACCCCAAGTTGTACAGATCATTTCCAACATATTGTCTTGTGTCTATTGCTGTTGCATTGGTTCCCGTTTGTCCTTCGTTTCACCATTCTGTTGTTCCTCTTCCCTTCCCTAATTCAAATAAACATATTTACAATACCAGGGTACCAGAATCAACTATAGTGACAACAAGGGATATACCATAGGGGAAGAACATACAAAATAAAAAAAAATCACAGAGTACTTTAAAAACAGTAACAACAAAGAAAAACCTCTTGTGTCCATGTCTTGGAGTTCATTTTGCTTAGCATTATCTTATATGGTCATATGTAGATAGCTATTGACCTTTTCTGCTCATCTGCTTAGATTATCCTAGGCGTATACTAATGATTGCAAATAAGGGAAACCATGGGACCTATGTTTCTTTGGGTCTGGCTTCACTTAATATGTTTTTTTCCCAAGTCTTTCTATTTCCTTACAAATGGGGTAGTAGTATTCTTTTTTTTTTTTGGGGTCCGGTCGTGTGGCCTGAACTCTGGGGGTATTATTCTTTAGAAGCATAGAATTCCATTTCCTTGATCCATTCATCTTTCTAAGTAACTTATAGAATAGATGGCAAAGAGCTCTTTTAATCTGATGGCTTGCCACTCTTCTCCCTGGGCATATTTGCTGGATATTTAGAATTTCTCAAAGGTCTCTAACAGGATTAATGGAAACACATTTTGAATCTTTCCCTAACTCAGTTTTTTTGGCAATGTTTCCCACTAGAGAAAAGAAACTCCAAGGGGAATGAGGTCTCCTGTGGCAGCCCATGGCCCAATTTATTTTAAATGGTTCAAGCATCTCAGTATTGGACAACAATTCTCACTGTTCTTGTGGGAGAGTTTTCTATACAAAAAAACTAGAACAACAACAACAACAACCAAAAACCCCTTAATTGGTTATTGCTTCCTGTAGCTATTTTAGCTTGGCCAGTGGGGCTGATTTCCTAAATCCTTCCCTTTGTGATTTATCTGCACCACCATAAGCTATTTAGCCTATAAAGGATCACAAGACCCAGAGAAGTTTATTGCGTGGAAGGAAGCAAAATTTAACTTATTCATTGGCAATAAAAGTCTCAAAATCCAAGCCACTGACACTGGATCCCAGTATGGTGAAAATAGTGCTGATTTGGCTCCTGGGCTTCTTGATCAGAGATCAGCTGCTTGACTTTGAGAAGCCCAATGAACTTTCAAGTCTTTAGATGCATCCTCTATCAGCTGAAGAGGTTAGACGAGGGGTGACACATTTCTTTCTTCACTAACATCTCCTTGATTTCACCTGGTGCTCTAGCTGAGCCCACACACATTAGCTGGCTCAGTGCTGCCTTCGAGGCAGAGGCCAGGTGCATGGTGAGCAAAGAAGAATCTTCACGTTCAACTCTCTGAGTGAGTATTCTCCCAGGCAGCCATGCAGTGCCTTAGCTAGATGAACTCTCAGGTGACTGAGGTTGGGTTAGAGGTTCCAAATTGCTCTGTGACCTTGGCTTCTCCCTCCAGAAGCTCAGTTTTTTCCTCTTTTTACTTTGTAGAAATGAGAAGCCTGGATAAAGCTGAGTGCATCCTATGGTCTGGGTGGGTGGAGGCAGGAAGGCCTTCGATTGGAGCCCGAGCTCGGAGCAGTGGGGCTTCCACGCCGTCTCCTCTGTCACTCAGTGTTTGATTCTCGCCAGATGTCTAAACATGGGGCTGTCTGTGACAGGCTAACATTCTACCTGGCCAGTGTCTACACCATCTTCATCTTTCCAGGCTTGTACCTGCAATCCAGAGATTACCTTATGTAACTCATGAGCCTGGGTATAGGTTTTATTGGGAAGGGGAGATGATTTGTTATCCATGAACTTTCTTTCTCTTAAGGAAGAGAGTAGAGAGAAATGTAATCAGATATGAGTCAGCTAGAGCTGAGTGGCTCACACCTGTAATCCCAGCTACTCTGAAAGCTGAGGCCAAAGGGTCATAACTTTCAAGTGACCCTATGCAAAGTTAGGAAGCCCCTATCTCAAAACAAACAAAATAAAAACAAAAGGGTTGGAGGTGTGGCTCAAGTGGTAAAGCACTACTCCAACTAGCATGCATGAAATTCACCTGGTTCAGGTTTCTTTTTTTCCCCTGAAATTACAAAGTTTGAACCAATACTAAGTACTATTTACAGACGGCTTTATATTATCTAGACAACCTCGTGAGGTGCTTTATATATTTTATCTCACATCTACACTTCATCTTAGCTAAAGACTGAGAAGAGACATGTCACATCTAATTTCGTATCAACTGTGTCACCTTAACGTGGTGCAGGTGTGAGCGGCAGAGGAGAGAGGCCTGGGTTAGAGCTGGCTTGAGGGTATCAGGTGTGAGGGACGGAGGGACACCATGGTGGTTGTGCTCTGGGACCTGCTGAGAAGTCCAGTCAGGGAGATAAGGGCAGATTCCACCGCTGTTTTCAGCATCTGCACCTGGGATTCCAGGGATCCCACATTTCTGCCAGGGTGGAGAGGGGGAGAGGAAGAACATCAGAGCACCGTCTCCCACATTCTGCTCAGCTTCTCACAGGTTTCTTGGTCTCGGATGCTTCTGAGGGGGTGGGGCTGAAATATTCCCCATAACATGGGAATTTCCTCTTCTGTCCGTTATCCGCAGACAGGAAATAGTGACAAGATTGGCCTTAGCCACGGGTCTCTATGCCATTTCTGCAAAGTAGTGGATCAATGGTTAACTCCTTTCTGCTTTACCCACCCCTCTGCCATCCCAACTAAAGGGATTTCCAGCATGGGCTCAACCCCTGGTTTCTTTGGGAAAGATGCCGGTCCTGTCTGAAGCTCAAGTTCCTCAGGTGCCGGCTAATAACCTGACAGAGGCAGGGACCAGCTGAGGAGCTGAGATGGCTGCGTTTACCATGGTCTGGCCCACAGCAGGACCGAGGGCAGCAGCACCCGTGGCCGTTCTGGTCATTGGAATCTGGCTCCTTCCTCCGGAAGCCTTGGAGTCTGTCGAACATGGTTCCATTCTCTTGCTCCCTCGCCCCATTTAGTGACCCTCCTTGCACCCCAAGCAGTCCCCTGTTCCCTCTCCTGTTTCACCTGGACCTTACTGAGGGTTCCCTTAGACGTTCATCATGGATCTCTCTTCAGATTTTCCCTGTGAGAGGGACTGGGCCACAGTCCATCGGTTTGTAAGATGGGGCGCCAGTGGAGAAAGGAAAAACAAGAAGAATAAGAGATACGACCAAGTCGTTTATGTGTTTGCACTGTTGGGGGTAGAAGGCAAGGCCTGCCACATGTAGGAAAGTCCTGCACCCCTGAGCTACACCCTACCTTTATTTCAAAGGCTCCTCTTGACAATAAAGTTTGGTAGTGAGAGGGGTGCAAACAGAGTCAGAAACAAGCAAAGTCTGAAACAAGCAAAGTGATAAAGCTCCATGTATTATGTTAATATATAATGTAAGAATACATTAACTGGTATAAATAGTAATACAAAATGGTTAATATATAAACATATAATATACAGCATATATTATATATAACATATGTTATATTACCATATTATATATTATATATAACATATGTTATATTACCATATTATATATTAACTATTGTTAGATCATGAGTACATCCTGAACAATTTCCACTATTTTCATGTCAATCCCAGGTGTCAAATATTCTCAAAATAGTTAAAATTTTATGAAGCAATAGCATGGTGTAAAAACCATAGAATTAAGTCTGATTGAATTAAGAAGAATGTCATCTTTACAAAAGAAAATAGCAAATGTTCTCTTCAGAAAGGGTGCCAGGTTTAATGAGATTTGTGTATCTGAGGGATTGAGACAGGGAGACAATTTTCAGGAAAAAAAGCCTTTGAATGCAAGAGCTTCTTGAGAAAACACTGAGAATGAGAGAATTATTAGTAGTTCATGTAAATGGTTATTAATGAAGAAAACTATTGTTTTCAGTATCATTTATCTGAAATAAAATTTTATAAACAAGAACCAGTATAAATTCTATAAATGGGTTGGTTCTAATTCCGGGTGGCGGGTAAATTCACAGCTTCTGTGAGTCTCTGTTTCCTCATTTGTATTTTGGGGAATCGTGATGTTTTCATGAGGTTACCTGACCATTACTTCCCATGAAATGGGATATCAAACACCAAATAAATAAAATACTCACTCTATGAGCCTGTCAATAAACCAGTCAGGTAACATGCATCAAGGGGCTAGTGCGAAATGAAAGATCAGTGTTGCCTGTTTGATTTGTCTCAGGGCTATTCCAGAGATCCATCTCCGAATGGAACCCAGAGCCACTGTAAATAACGTGACTGAGCTCATTTTCACCGGCCTCTTCCAGGATCCAGAGGTGCAGAGAGTGTGCTTTGTGTTCTTCCTCTGCGTGTACCTGGCCACAGTGCTGGGCAATGGCGTCATTGTCCTGACGTTCAGCTTCAGCAAGAGTCTCTGTTCCCCCATGTACTTCTTCCTCAGCTACCTGTCCATGGTGGAGATCTGTTACTCCTCTTCTGTCGTCCCTAAATTTATCAGTGACTTCCTTGCCAAGATCAAAACCATCTCCATGAAGGGCTGTCTGGCTCAGATATTCTTCCTCCACTTCTTTGCTGTGGCTGAGAACCTGTTGCTGGTTGTGATGGCCTTCGATCGCTATGTGGCCATCTGCAGACCTCTTCATTACATGAACATCATGAGCCGTCCACTGTGCCACCTGCTGGTGGCTGGTTCTTGGCTGGGGGGCTTTGTCCACTCTATAATTCAGATTTTCATCACCCTTCCCCTGCCCTTCTGTGGTCCCAATGTGATTGACCACTACTTCTGTGACCTGCATCCTTTATTCAAGCTGGCCTGCACCGACACCTTTGTGGAGGGAGTGATTGTCTTAGTCAACAGTGGGTTAATCTCCATCCTCTCCCTCCTCATCTTGGTGTCCTCCTACGTGGTCATCCTGGTCCATCTGAGGAAGCATTCTGCAGAGGGGAGGCGCAAGGCCCTGTCCACCTGCGCCTCTCACGTCACCGTGGTGGTCTTGTTCTTTGTGCCCGCCACCTTCATCTACATGAGGCCTGACTCCAACTTCACTGGGGACAAACTGGTGGCCGTGTTCTACACTGTCATCACCCCCATGCTGAACCCCATCATCTACACACTCAGAAACGCCGAGGTGATAAATGCCATTGGGAAGTTGTGGTGCAAAAAGGGCAGAGGTGTGGGAAAGTGATGTTGATGGAGATCTGATTGTTGTGTGTTCTTTGCTTTTTCTGGGGTGGGATTTGCACCAGTGGTAGCAACAGATGTAAGGACTTGATGACACTCTGGCTGTGATTCTCTTTAGTGTCAGCACTCTTGGGTATTCTGGTCTATTCTTCCAAGGACTGGGGTTGATATTCTCATTTGACCTTATGGAACTTGATTAGTCAAGGATGCCCACAATAGCATAGATTTGGGCAACCAGAAGAAGGTCCCTACCAAGTGCACGTGGCAAGGAGTGTTTGGAAAATGTTTTAAATGTTAAGAATTCCTTTGTCCTTCTCTGTTTCATTCTCTCCATAGTAATTTTACATACATGTGGGTTGTAGTGGGACAATTCAAGACATGTTAAATGTTCAATGAACACATCAGGATAATTGGTATAGATTACCACACAGAGATTATTCATTGTCTGTGTTGGGAGCATTTGAAATTCTCTGTACTCTCTATTTTGACATTTCATTAATTGTCGTCACCTACAGTTAATTGATTGTGCTACTCAGTATTAGGAGTTATTTCTGCATCCACCTGCTTCCCTCTACAGAAAACATTCTATCACACGTTTGTGGGATAAATTGATTTTGCTATCCCTCTCCCTACTTCCTTCCTCCTCCTTTTCCTTTCCTTGTTATCTTCCCCCTTATTTGTCTCCTCTTTGTTTAACATTCCTCAGGATAACAATTTCTACTTAATTATCAAAGGAACCAACCAGATGAATTATCTTCAAACATTTGGTGATAAAAGGTATCAATCTAATTTTCTCCTTCAGTGGGAACAGTGTGTTCTCCACTATCCCCTCCCCCAATCTTTCCTGTTTTCCTCTCCCCTTTCCTAAAAACGACCACAGGTTTCATCATTCCGTTTTCACAATTGTAAATAAAGTTCTTCAAGCATATTCACCCTCCCTCCCCCGCTGATACCCATCTCTCAACAGTGTCTGCTTTGCTTTCCTGTCGCTTTTTGTTAGTGTACATGAGTTGTACTAAGGAGTTTCATTGTAGTCTTTTGCATATGAGCATATATTATATCTTAATCAGAATAATGCCATCTATTGCTTTCTCTTTCTTCAATACCATGCTGAGGAGGAGAGGGGGGGAGAGAGAGAGGGAGAGGTAGAGGGAGAGAGAGGGAGAGGGAGGGAGAGAGAGAAAAAGAGGGAGAGAGAAAGAGAGGGAGAGTAGGAGAAAGAGAGGGAGAGAAAGAGAGAGGGAGAGAGAGAGGGAGAGAGGGAAAGAGAGGGAGAGAGGGAGAGAGGGAGAGAGAGG